GCTACTTCACTGAGGTCAATGTACAAAGAAGTCTGAAAACGGCAAAGCAAAACAAACAAACAAAAAACCAGCCAAATGATTAAGAACATGGGTTTTGGTGTATGAAAGACTATCTGGGAAATCAGCATGTGGGGGCTCACACACGCTTCAGCTGCATGGTGTCCTGGCGCCTGTGCCTCTGCATCTCCACACACTAGCTCTGCCTACTCTCTTTCGCATGTAGCCAAAGAGGGCCATCCTGCAGCGGCAGCCTCAGCTGGAGCTCTCGCCTCACTCTTGTTCAGGTGAACATCTAGAAATGCTGAGTCCAAGATCCAGGTTTAGCAGAGAATCTGACAGGTCCCGGTTTGAGTCTCATGTCCACACTGATCTGAAGAACCACGATCCAAAGGAGAGAGTTCCGGGAAACAAACAGGGCCGCCACGGCCAGCCTTGCTGGTTGTTTGGAGGCCATCCCAGGAGGCGTAATGGGACATGGACTGCCATAATTACACTGAGCTCACATAGATATCAGCCAATTATAAAAATAATGGCAGACTGTATAATAATTTTCTAAAAAGAATTCTTAATTTTCAATAAAAATCCCAAATATTAGAAATAAATTTTTTAAATGAATAGGAAAAAGTAATACCCATTTGTCATTTTAGTAGCTTAGCCATTTTAGAATAGTATCAATGTCTGAAATATAGTTTAAAGTATTTAGAAGTGGTAGTAATATCTGAATAATGCAACTTGACGAACTTTCTTGTCTGACGACATATTTGAAAAGCACGAGGAGAGGTACTAGTAGGATACAAAAATAAATCAGAAAAGTCCTTGCCCTAAGGAGATTTTAATCTTGTGAGGTAATAAACATAAGTAAGTTACTATAATACAAGGGAAAAACAATGGCTGTGGAAATGAAAAGGATCAGTCATAAGTTAGTTAAATCAGCCAATAAACATTTTTTATGCAACTAATTTCATGCTTTGCATTACTGTAATTCAAGAGTAGCATTAAAAGTCTTGGAACATTTTTGTCTCAATTCCATTAACATTTTATATAATGTAGACAGTAATATTTTCTTTACTCAAGAATATAGGTATCACATTACAAAAACACATCCCAAATCTCAAACACTGAACACATAAGAAATACACAGCAAAAGTTTTTTTCCAAATAAATTTATAAGTGAATTTTATACATTTAAGCTATGATAAGTATTGCTGGCTCAGATCATGCCAAAATATATTATATATGTATTTAATATCTAACAAAAATCAAATGCCAGTGAAATACTTTTTATGCCTAAATGGTGCCATTAGTAAAATTCTTGATTGGTAATAACCACATATAGAAACAAAATACAAAATGAGTTTAAAGTACTTAGTTGTGATATATGTTGAGCTGTTTGTAACATGTGGTTTTTTGAAACAAGCGTATGATACTTTCTTATCTAGAGTACTGAAATCTAAATTTAGATACTTACATTATTGCACTCTCCAAGAAAATACAGTGCAAATCCATCGGCTTTTGTGGCTGCCAAAGGAAAAAAAAAAAATGAAAAAACTAATCTCAATGGAAGAATATAACATGCATAAATTCTCTATGGGGAGACTCAGATATGTCTACGGAATGGATTTGTTAAAATAATCAATGGTCATGCAGTAAATA